TGTTTAACAAAAACACAGGCTGAGAAGAATATACCCCTAAAGAGGGCAAGGCCCTTCTACCAAAATCACTTTGAATTTCTATAGTTTTAGCTTGCACTTTTGTTCCAAACTGACAAACATTTTTCAAAGAGTTTTAAACTACAGAAATATTTTCAACAAAACATGCAGGTTGTAGCAGGCCAGAATAATAATTCTGCAATCAAACTTAACCTCAAAAAAATTGTTTTAAGTTATTCAGCTGTGACAAAAATCACTGCATTTGCTTAATGATGCAGCAACAGAAAGCCATGTCATACTTCTGAATTAGTAGACCACTGATTTTAGAGAAAAATAATACAAATTGAATGAAGTTAAAAACACTTCAAGGTATTTGTTTCAAAATTCTGAAAAACAAATGAGCATTTGGGGAATAATCAACTGAATACACGTTGCAATTTACTGCTTTCATCATGTCAGGTTTTTTGTTATTGGACCAGATACTGTATGTTGGCAGGCAGGAGGCTGATAAATAAGGCTCTCCATTCTAAACTGAACCAAAAAAACAAAGAGAAACTCTACTACCTCATAAAAACAAAGCCTGGAATATCTATTTTGCCTGTCTCAATGGAAACAATTGAGCAAGTAGTACTGGTCAATATGCAGAAGGCTGAATCTAAATATATACACAAATAAATTTAACCACCAAATACTGGGTTTGTTCTCGATTAAAAACACATTTCAGAAGAAAGAAGAGATCTGAAACCCCATGTTACAGAATGTATAATGTAATATAGACTGGAAACATATTTCAGGGTAAACAAGACACTATGATACCCAAAAGAGGATTGGTTTCCATGACATATTAACTTTTACATATCACTCATTCTCTTAGTGTTGTCTCCTACTTTTCCTTCCGAAGTAAACTTCTGACAGCCTTCAAACTAAGAAATGCTACTTGCAGGGTCACTGGGTCTTGAGAAATGCCTGCAGAGGCAGGACACTTGTTATCCATCTAGTATTTTTTACCAGGATGTATTTACTTAGGAGGGTGAACTAAAATGAGCCACAATCAGTCTCAAAAGAAGATGAGTTGTTCTGTTTAAGAGGGCCCTTGGATGCTGTAATTTAGAATTTAAGAATGGAATACAATAGTTTGAGAAGAACATACACCGTTGTCTTTTCCTAAACATTTTACAATCACTTGTCCCCAGGCATATATTTGGAAAAATTGTCATACAAAATAATTATGACCTACATGGGAAGGAAAAAAACCCAAAACCGAACCACAAACAAAAAACCCACAAAACTTCTTTGGACAGCTGGCAAACTTCCCTCTCCCTTCCACCCCATCTACTAGACATCTTTGCAGTGTAGAAATCTGGGAAAATATAAAATTTTCAGGGTTCTGACAGACACATGGTGGCATGTTAAACTGGACAACCGAAACAAGTATGAGCTTATGTATATCTCACAGGTGCCTAGGCAGGTTTGACAAAACCAGGCATGTCTGGTCTGCTTTTGGACCACTTACTGAACCTCTGCTAAGGCCCAAATTCAGTAGACACATCTGACTAGAAAGGCTTCATTCTGCTTCAAGCCCAGGAGATGAAATGATCAAAGGCCTTGCTACAAACGTGGCACAGAAATGAAAAGCAACGGGTACAGAAACTTGTTATAAAGTATTTGTCAATCTGCCACACAATTTCTTTCTCCACTCCTTATAGCAGAAAAGCACCCAATTAACCTGTATCAGATCATTGTCACAATTAGCACACTATTTTAAGGTAGGATCTTGTGTTCTTCTCTGGCAGCTGAAATGCTCAAGGTGAAGCTAACTCTGAGATATACAACTTACTGTTGACCAAATTCTCTGTGACCTGTAAGCATGAAAAACAGTATTCAGCAATGAAAAGCTAAATCAGTCAACTGAGGAAATGATTCACTGACCCAGTACAAAGGCATAAACACCTGGTACAATACACAGTGAGGAACAGCTGTAATTATTATATAGCTGATCAGTGCTAAAGAGAGAAAATTAAGTTCATTTACTCAATAATTTATCACCTTGTATTTCTTCTCAACTATCTCATATTATTTGGCACCAAGGCTTAAGCAACAGGCTCTAAACATTGGTTTTCACAATAAATATCACCAAAAACCAATGAAAAAAGTAGTAACTATGTAGTTAAGATTATTCAAATATAGAACCCAGGAAATTTTTTAAAACCCTTAGAATTGTTAGATGATCTAAACGAAAACAGGAGTCCTGTCTTGCTCTCATAAAGCGAGCATCTAAAATTCCAGTTAACTAGATAAATTTAAAGGTCACATTGAAAATTCCCTATTTGATACATAAACCTTCTCTTCTTGGTGGACAAAGATTTCTGCTGACATTAAAAACTGTAATTTTATCTTCCCTCCTGGCTTTGAAATGAATAACCCCAGCTCCAGCCTAACAGATTTCTCAAACTAAACTTCTCTGCAAAACAGCAGATCAGTGCAAACATTAACTGGCATGGATCCCAAATCCAGCCTGAAAAGTCCTGGGATTAGACTGTGTCTCCAACATGGTGTTTAGACAGTATTTCAACTTAAGATGACCAGGATCACATAGAACAACAGAAGAAATATGAAAAAACAATAAAGTAAGATGAAATATTTCTTTTCTTAATTTAAGTATTCCTAAAACTTATATTTATTGTGTATAATTTTGGAAAAAAATATTTCTGTTGTGATCATATATTGGATGCAAAGCAAGCCTTACAAAATGACAGCTATTACAAATGTTGGTGGACTTGTCCAGTACACAAGCACCACCTTTGGCTGCCAAGAGGTTTTATTTTAGGCTGTGTGGTACAACCAGCCATAGATATTCAGCTGCACTAAAATGAAGTTGGTTTCAACAAATATTCGGAATATTGGGAGAAGCAAAACACTGGGCAGGACTTCTTTGTTTCTCTAAATGCTTGCTTTTGTGTTTTCTTGATGTTTATGTTATGACAAAAGCCCCGTTATGTAGGAAAGCCACTATATCAATTGGAAAAACGGAGGAAACTGTTAGTTTTGTTAGATCTAAAAGAAGACATGTATGAAAAACTGCATAAGAAGTCACCAAGTCAAACAAAAGGTTAGAAAAAGATAACTTGTTTCCAGATACTGTTAAGTATTACTGCCAAACTGTCCACTGTTTTGCCAAGTAAACAGCTATTACTGAGTACTCCTTGTTAGCATCTGGAAGCAGTAGAGAAAAATAATACTACGACATCAGGGCTTAAAACCCACAGGTTTTAGGGGCTGGGGATCCCTTAATTTCTTTTTTCAGGACAGCACTCAAGGGAACGATCCAGTACAGAGTGCCATGAAGTCAAAAAACTGTCAGATCTCACGGCTCAGAGATTCTAAACCAAAAGAAAGGGAGTTCTACTTCCATGTTGCCACTGGCAAATTGTCAGTGTAGGTGCTGGGGGTCCACCCCAGCCAGCAGCTCAGCCCTGTGCAGCTGCCTGCCCCCTCCCCTCGGTGGGATGGGGGAGACAATCAGAAGAGCAAAAGTAAGAAAACAGGTTAGCACTTAAAATATTTGAGACCCTGCAAACCCAAAAGACTGACATCTCTCGGGAAAAACAGCTTATACTCTCCAAACCCCACGATTTTCCTCCTAATAAAAAAATTAACCAATCACAGTTTACAGGTGGTAATCAGACTTACTTCATGTCAGCACAGAGTTATGACAACTTCTAATTACTCTTTATACCAACTGTCTCAACAAAAATGAAAAATTAATAGACCAGGTTTCAAAATGTAGGTACTAGTGTATACACACATAAACTCCTAATGGAATTTCAAAATGAGATTAAAGAAGATTACACTTACATAAGAAAGACCCTTCAAAAACAGATGGGATAATAGGTCTCAGGGTACTTAAAATCCTAATGTCCTAGGTTAGCCTGAATATGTCTGCATTTCTTTTCAGTTTCTTTGTGAATTCCAATACTTTGTCAACCTAGAAAATACTCTCAAAAATAGCAGTTTCATTTAGGCTATTTAAAATGTTATTTCTCTATTGTTTCTACCACATAGTGCGTGTGAACAACAGGATTCCCTCTTGATATGCTTTCCAACTCCAAACTAGTTTATGAAGTAAAAAGGTCTAGCAGATGATCAAATTGGGCTGCTTCAGCCTTTACTTCATCCAGAGGGAACACTTCTGCGTCACACTTCACAGAAAACATTTTTGCAATCTGCTTTTATGCATCAAGGACAAAGCACAGATGACACTACAGTTCCACTTCCAAGCACAGATATAAACTGTGTATTTACAACTGCTCATTCTCGTGTAATTGCTCATTGTAACACTCTGTATGCAGATCTGCATGCACAAGTAAGCTTTCCCACGTCTTCAATTTATTTCTGAGTTTGCCTGACACTTGCTAATTCTGGTATAAAGATAATCGTGCAAGATAAACACAGAGCCCAAAGTAATAACTCTGTCTTTCATCAGGGTTTAAATGAGACCCAACGTTATGTTGTCAAGAGTTACGCCTGATGGTTGAGAGGCACACTGCCTTCCAACTTGCTCCAAGGACAGAATTTTGGAGCTGGAGCACAAAACAGGCTTTGAATTTGCTGCATTTGTCTATTTTTATGCAGAAAGCCAAGACTACAAATACCACTCCAAAACTTCCCAACACTGACTGGGGTACACTCAGGAAACACTCTCTGCCTCTCTCAGCCCATCACATACACAGGACAATAAACATTTACTCTTTGTCAGTTAAATTAAGAGATTACTACTAAGCACATGCTAATACTTTCTTTAGCAGAGTGGCATTTTAGGAAGCACTGAGCAATTCTTCTCTTTCAGCACACCAAAAAAGCAAAATACATTCCTTTAATTTCACCTGTTACCCAGCTAATTTCAGGCCTCCAGATCTGCAGTCTAAGCACTTGGACTGCCTTAACCAAGAGCAGATTGAAGAGAAGCTGACTTCAGTATTTAACCCCACATGTCACATACTTACATCTGGCATTTCTGTACAGTAGGAAGGGGTCCTGGAGCTGGAAATCGAGGTCTTTAGTAATAGGCTCAGTTCGATTTTCCATGCTCAGTCTGTTCATAATTGTGAAACCATGCCTTGGAGAAGCCGATCTGCAAATTAACAAGCAGAAATCCCATCAAGCCGAGGAAAAAGAGAAATCACTAGAATTTCTTTCCTGTATAGTTCTCCAAATTTATTAAGCTTTTATTAGTATTTCTAAGAGGTACCACAAAAAACTGATTTTGTTGCCAAGGAAATAGCGACTGGCTCTTGCAGTATTTTGTGTAATCCTTTTAATTATGGCAAACCCCTACATTATGTATGAGAAATAAACAGACTATCAGCATCACCTTATCCAACACCACCATCTATCCTATAGTTTCTTGCTGGAGTAGAAAGAAGCAATTACAATAAGTCAGTCGTGGGCCAGTGCAAGCATACTTTTCAATACTCTGGTTAACAATTGCAGACAGTAACAGGCATCCCAAAGAGGATTTTCCACGCCATCTAAAGCATAAGAACAAAAGTGAGGGTGCTGGGAAACTGGAACAGGTTGCCCAGAGCAGTTGTGGATGCCCTATTCCTGGAAGGCCAGGCTGGACAGGGCTTTGAGGAACCTGACGTAGTGGAAGGTGTCCCTGCCCATGGCAGCAGGAGTTAGACCAGATTATCTTCAAAAGTCCCTTCCATCCTAAACCATTCCATGATTCTATGACTCTAAATCATTTTGCATGTTCATGGGGGTTACACTTCAAGTCATTTAGATAAAGGTGAGCTGTTAAATCCATCATGATCCTGACAACAGATACTACTTCCAAACTAAGTATGACAATAAAGGAAAGACTATGGATAAACATTTGGGAAAAGTGCCATCTCTGGCAATTGCTGGTGTGTGGATTTCTCTATGAAACCCAAAGCAAAGGAAGCTGCATTACAGCATTGGAGTCAACAGAAAAATAAACAAAAGTGGAATCCTTGACAAGAATCCTTAATTTGCAGCAGTCGGTGCTTCACTTAAAACAAACAAACAGTCCACTTCCACTGGTGTTAACCCAGCTGGAAGTCTGACTTTTTGACTGTTCCTCAGAATTCACTAAGATGGGATGGGTAGTAAATAAGTTATCTCAAGTAAAATGGTCACATCACTTTACATGGTGACTAAAGAGAAACAACCAAGGCAACACCAGTGGTCTCCAACCTATGATCTGTTGGCAATGTCTTTTCCACAGAACTTTATAACTCTGTTCAAAGCAACAGAAAATTAAAGTTAAAACTGATGATGCATGATGTTACCCACAGTTCACAACGTGTTCCATTCTGTTGCCTGTAGGGCAGCCAGGCATCAACCCCTGCTCTAAATGGAAATTTCCTCAGGCAACAAAAAGAACAGTGAAAGATCACAGATGCAAGGAGTACCAGGTTACATGTTGTCAGTTCTTGAGCTTTACAACCAACACACCAGGAAATACTGCTGCTGTTCTGCAGCCCATAACTACCCACATCCACCTACTGCTCGCACAACAAAGAGCTGGTTCTTTCCTCTCACGGTGGTAATTAGAAAAGCATCTTATCTCCACTCACCTGAAAGCAGCTTAGAAAAATTACTATTGACCATTTCCACTGCTGGTAGGAAAGATCTCTACAGATTGAAACCAGCATTCCCACTTCACACAAAGCTCACAGACTCCTGGGCCTCTCTGTCACTTCACACATACATCTCTCGCCTTCTCAAAACAATCTCTTGCTTTCTCAGCTCTCCTACCAGTTCCTCTTTGACATAAAAGTCGAAGAAGAAACTTTCTGCTTTGGTGTTAAACCCTGGCAGCTACTGCAAGATCTGCTGACTGTATTATTTTCCAACTTTAACAACGGTCACAGGGAAATGCTGAGGCACTAACATGGAAACTACAACATAGGGCAGGCTTCATAACAGAACAAATGTGCTAGAACAAGTGATGTAAAAATGATGCTCTGAAAAGCCACAATCAGAGGTGCTGCTAAAAGAAAGCATTAAAATCAGCCAAAATGTTGGATGAAATATGCATGAAAAATAAACAATCAGACATAAGTAGTATGAACGTACCCTAAGTAGGGAAAACAATGCTTCCTAAGTTGTACCATTCCCTTACTTTAAAGAATATGGTTATTTATTTCACTATTTGCTTTTTGTCCAGACACTTTTTAAACTGCTACATCCTAATTAAACCAACACAAAAGATTTCTACAGTTTACCCATATTGAGATTTAAAACACATTTGGAAGTCTTATCAAAATACAAGGTGGTGCCTCTTTCCCAGTGTTTTCTTCCCCCCATTTGCTTCTACCAGTTTCAGTTTCTTTTCACCCTTGAACAAGGGGGAGCATTTACTTCATGACTTCATTTACTTCATTCACACTCCATCCCAGCTAGCTTTTCCATATCCACAGGTTATGGAAACATCCTGCAGAAGTTAAAAGGTAGTGTCCTCACCTTGTGTAAACAAACAGCGTTCCCTCCACATCAGTCTTCTCCTGAAGAAAAGGAAAGTTAAGGAAGTTGAAATCAGGGCAGTGTTTTGCTCACTGTCAGCGAACCCCCCTTTATCTCTGTTTACCAGGACCATCAGTTTCACTTCTCTCATCCAAGCCACAAATACATAAACCCAACTTCATCAGCTGGTGGTGAGAGGCTGGAGCCAGCACAGGTCACTATGCATCTGACCCAAGTTTTATGATAAGATATGGAAAGGCTAAATGCACGACACCATGAGGCTAAACTGGATTAACTCTCCACTACACCTGAGGGCAGTGCACAGCCCAGAGTCAGGGAGAGGATTTTCCAAAGGGTACCTGTCCTCAGGGGCAATGTTTGGGACAGGAACAGGGGAAATGACACAAAAGGGAGATGGTGCAGATTCTTCAAACACGGGCCCTAAGCCCCACCATTACAGCAAAGCAAGAACCACCTGGAAAGAGCCTGAATGTTAGATTACCAGAAGTTTCCCTGAGTTAATTAAGGTTTTAAATCTTACAACAATCTTTTTAGCACTTTTAACTCCTACACTCACTCTTTTGTACATGTTTGGGTTCCATTATAGGTGTTTGAAGGGCAGAGGAGAGTCTGAGGCCCGTGTCCCGGGGTTAAACCCCAGTCTCCCACAGCTGTGGGTTAAACTCTGTCAGGCTTGGTGCTGTGACCACATCCCTGGGGAGCCTGTTCCAGTGCCCAACCACCCTCTGGGGGAAGAGCGTTTTTCTTCATCCAACCTAAACCTCCCCTGAAACACAACTTCAGGCCATTCTCTTGAGTCCCATCACTGGTCACCACAGAGAAGAGATCAGTGCCTATCCCACCTCTTCCCCTCACAAGGAAGTTGTAGACCACAATGAGGTCTCCTCTCAGTCTTCTCTTCTCCAGCTGAACAGACCAAGTTCCCTCAGCTGCTTCTCATACGGCTTCCCCTCAAGGCCCTTCACCATCTTCGTTGTTCTCCTTCAGACACTGGTTAAACCACAGTCTCCCACAGCCCTGGGTTAAATTCCAGTCTTCCATTGCCCTGGATTAAACCACAGTCTTCCATAGACCTGGTTAACACTCAACCTCCCATGGCTGCAGGTTAAACCCCAGCCCTGGGTTAAACCCCAGCCTCCACAGCCCCATCTTAATCCCCAGTCTTCCACAGCCCTGGCTAAACACCCAGTCTCCTGTGTCCCTGGGTTAAACACCCGACCTCCCTTGGACCTGGTTAAACCTCAACCTCCCATGCGCTTGGATTAAACCCCCATCCTCCCCCGCCCTGCCGCACGGGACACAACTCCTACAACCCTGCAGCCTCCCAGAGCCCACTCCCCGGGCCCTACGGGGCTGCTCTCAGCTGCGTCAGGCACACCCCTCCCTCACCCCCGCCCTCACACCTCGGCCATGGCCGGGCGGGGCGGGGCGGGGCGGGGGCGGGGCTCTCACGGCGGGGGCGTGTCCCGGCCGCTCCCCGCCCCGGTCCCCGGTGCGGCGGGGGTGTGTGCCTCGCCGGGCGCACGTACCCACTGGCTGGCGCGGTGTCCGAAGGTGTAGAGCGCCACCTGGCTGGCCACGTCCACGATGCCGCTGATGTAGGGGTCGTGCTGCCGCAGCGCCGCCAGGCTGATGTCCAGCCCCCGGCCCAGCGCCGCCGCCATCTTGCGCCCCGCGCCCAGGCGCGAGCAATCCACCACCGAGCGACACCATCACCACCACCACCAGCGGGGTGGCGGCCCCGCAGCGGAGTGCAAGGCGCCGCAATCGAGCGCCGAGCGCCGCCGGCTCGGGATTGCCGCCGGTGTGTGTGTGTGGTGTGGGAGCAGGGGCTGTGCCGGGGGGGCGGTACCGGATCACGGGATCACAGTCACAGCATAGCCAGGGGTGCAAGAGGCCTCTGGAGATCACCCAAGTCCAACGCGCCTGCCGAGGAAGGGTCACCGAGAGCAGGTGGCACAGGGGCGCGCCCGCGTGGGTTTGGCATGGGTCCAGACTCCGCGCCCTCCCCGGGCAGCCTGTGCCAGGGCTCTGCCGCCCGCAGCGAAAGGAAGCTCTTCCCCACGTCGAGCTCGAAATTTTTTGTTCTGGTTTGCGGCTGTTGCTCCTCGCCTGCCGCTGGGCACCACAGAAAAGGGCCTGGCACCGTCCTCTGGGCGCCCGCCTTGGAGGCATTTATGTGCATTGATGAGATCCCCCGTCAGCCTTCTCTTCTCTGGACTGAACAGGCCCAGCTCCCGCAGCCCGTTCTCCTAAGAGCGATGAGTCCCACGAGCCTGCCCAGCTGGAGCAGGAGCAGGGGGCACCACAGCAGGCGGGCTCGGGAGGGCAGGGAGCTGCAAGCCCGGATGGAGCTGGAGCCACGCGGGCTCAGCCTGGCACATGCACAGGAGCGTGTCTGTGTGTCTGTCTGTGCCACTGGGTCCAGGTCTGGGCTCCTCAGCTCGAGAGAGACAAGGAGCTGCTGGAGAGGTTCCAGCAGAGGCCATGAAGATGATGAGGGGTCTGGAGCATCTCTCTTATCAGAAGGGACTCCGAGAGCTGGGCATGTTTAGTCCAGAGAAAGGGTGACAGAGAGGATCTCATCAATGCATATAAATATCTCAAAGGTGGCTGCCAAGAGGAGGGTTCCAGACCCTTTTCAGTGGTGCCTTGGTGACTGGATGGGGCATAATGGACATAAACACAAGAAGTTTCACCTCAATGGCAGGAAGAGCTTTACACTGAGGGTGGCAGAGCCCTGGCACAGGCTGTCCCGGGAGGGTGTGGAGTCTTCCTGTCTGGAGCCATTCCAAATCCACGTGGATGCATTCCTGTGTAACCTGCTCTGGGTGACCCTGCCTTGCCATGGGGGTTGGACTGGATGACTTCCAGAGGTCACTTCAACCCTAACAATTCTGTGATTCTTTATGGACACACTGTGTGCCTGCAGAGAGAGAGAGACGTGTGGGACTGAGCAAAGCCAGCAGGTGTGTCTGTAACCACAGGAATCTGTCAGGATATGTGTGCTTCCCATGGGCTCAACCGTGCCACCAGCACAGTGCACGCTCAGCACTCGGGACAGGGAGAGAAGTTGGTTCAGAGCGATGAGCACACACCCTTTGTGTTTGCTGGCACACACTCACAGGCTCCTGCATCGAACTGAAGGGAACAGGATTGTAAACAAAACCATATACAGCCCTCCTGTAGATATATATATATGTGTATGTATATACACTCATACATGTGACAAGCAGCTGAAACCTAAACAAGCATAATATGATATGGAGATATACAAACCACAAGCAACAGATGGACAAGACCAAGAATTCAGTTACCACATTTTCCTGTCAGACACACATATTTATCATTAATCTATTGATACCAACAGTTTACAGCAAATACTCGAGCTTTATGAGGCATGCAAATAAACTCAGCACATCCTTATATTGAAAAGATTTGCTTAACTGTCTGGCCTGAATCCCCAGCAAGAGCAAATTATTTTTACTTCATCACCTCAGACTGACGTAGCAGTTTTGGAAGGAGTCACCATCTCCTCTGTACAGAAGCAGTAGGGCGATATATTTACTTCCAGAGAATGGGATACCCTGGAATAACTCAAGGCAAAGGTAATGGATGCTGTCTAAATTGTTTACAATATTCCTGACACGACATTTTTAGAAAGGGAGTATCTGGACAAATGGGATGAGGACTGCCATTTTATTTTCTTCCCTCCTTTTCACTCTAGGCCAGATGGAGCCTGTGGGGCAGAGCGAGGAGTAACATCTGGTCTGAGAGCAAATGGGCAAAGCCCAGGTGAAAAAGCTTCCATAGCATGAAGTGGGGATAGGAGCAAATTGAGAATTCATAGTCTTAAATGTAGGAACAGCGAGTCTCTTGAAGGGAGCTAGAGATGGGCATGTTGTCAAAAAGGACAGAAATAAAGGCTGGGTTTGGGGACTTAGGAGAGAATGTGTAGGTTTTATTTTATCACAGGCGGCCACTAAAAATTGCATCACTAAGAAAAAGACCTACAACTTGCTCTGCAAGCATACAGTGAAAGAGGAAACATCTGAACACACTCTTTAGTTGTAATCCATCCCGTTCTTGGTTCCTCCTTTTCTAAAGGCATCTTGTTTCATTTGGGGCTGTGGTGAAACACCACTTTAGAGTTTAGAATTTTATGAGTGTTTTTTGTTATATTCTTGGTAGGAAAAGGCTCTAAGCGATTCCATTGGAAAGCTCTGCCTGACTTATAGATCCTGTAATATCAAAGAAGATATATAGGCCCATAGTGGACAAGGAAAACTGCTGTCCTTAGTCTGGAAATGACCAGAGCAGAAAGGCAAAAAAGTAATATGTAGGAGAGATAAGTTATGTTGCTCAAATGGCTAACAGATGCACAATAATTTCTTTTTGCTGATTAGATACTTCTCAATTCACAGTTTCCAGGCCCCCCTAATCACATTCCTCCTCATGTGCTGGGGTTTCTCATTACCACCATCTACAATTCTTTGGCAATTCTCCTGCTTACACAAAATCCCAACTTGTCACCAAGACTTAGAAGTGTGAAACTATTGAAGTCCCACTCCTGGAGTTTCCCTTTCCAGATGCTTTTGCTTCCTCCAACAATAATACAAAAAAGGTGCCTTGCCATTTCCTTTTTCTTTTCCTTGTTCTTTTCCTTGTTCTTTCTCTTTTCCTTTTCCTTGTTCTTTCTCTTTTCCTTTTCCTTGTTCTTTTCCTTGTTATTTTTTCTTTTAATTTTCCTTGTTCTTTTTCTTTTCCTTTTTCTTTTCAATTTCCTTTTCCTTTCTCTTTTCCTTTTCCTTTCTTTTTCTTCTTCTTTTTCCTTACCTTTTTGTTTTTTCCTTCTCTTTTTCTTTTTTTTTTCTTTTTTGGTGATGGTGTGGTGGGGTGCATGTTGCAAAAAGTCCCATAATGAAGAGAGTGTTATAGAAATTGCATTTCAAAGGCTATTTATTTGAATTAGGAAAGTTACTCATAACTGTTTTCGGGTAGGAGAAAGCACTATTTAGAAGATATATTGCAGCCCTGTTCCATCTGAAAAAAAAATGTCTAAAGCAGAAATAAGGTGCCTTTCAGCTGTTACAGCTTACTTTGTTTCTTTTGTTGCCTCTTTTTTCAGACCAAGCAGTAAGTAATAATTAAAGCCTTGCACATTTGTTGTGTTAGAGACACTGACTGGCTCAAGGTTATCTCCTGTGCCCTTCTCTTGACATAGGAAGGCTGCAGAGTGTCCTGTTTCCTTGAGGTCCACGGAGGAAAATTCAGCTGTGAGGTTAAATATCTTGAAGTAGGCATGTCAAAAATGTTGCCTGTCTGTTTTCAGTGCCCTGTTTGCAGATGCATTTTCAGTACTACTTTCCTCCCAGAAAGTAGTACTGGACAGACAATTCCTTCACCCTGTGTTTTTGAGTCAGCAAACCTGTCAGGCTTCTGATCAGGCCTTTTTTATATTTTCTGCTGCACTGAGAGGTGGTTTCAGCTGGTTCCAGCTGTTTTCCTATATAAGTGGGATGTAATTGCTCCTTCCATTTAGCCTGAAGTAAATATACTTAATAAAACCATTAGCTCTGCCCTGCTTTATGGGATCACTTGATAGTAGACTAAAACTTTTCCAATGAAACAAGATGCTGTTAAGAACAGAAACGCTGTGAATTCTCACTGCATCTAAAAACTTGGGGATTTTTAGCAAAAATATCACATCTTAAAAGATTGATCCTTTAAACTGTGGTTA